TAACGTCCATCAAACTACACCACGGAAAACCCAAACCGTATCAGGATTTCCATAAAGATTTTAAAACACGCTCTATGGATTTCCGTCTTTGCTTTCTCTTTTTCCGTCTTACTCTGTCTATAGCCAAAGCTGAGGGGGGGGAAAAAAAAAAGATCTGGAAAATGGGCCGGAAAATTAATCGAGTAAAAATGAAATGATCTGGAGCCGATGATCTTATTTACAGAAGATTCCTGAGGCCTCCAGCGGGTGGGGGAGGGGTCTGGAGGTGACGGGCGCCGTCCGTCAGGGCGTCCCCCCAGCGGGGCAACAGAGCTGGTAATTTTGATAGCCCTGCTCTAGCCAAGGGAGTCCTCTTGGAAAACTTAAACCAAACTCCATTTGAATTCGAGCCCCCTGTCGGGGCGCGGGCGCCTGAGTGGGCCCTGGGCCCTGGGGCGCGCTGGGTGTGCCCGTCGCCAGCGTCTCCCTGCGCCGCCAAGTCTCGGGCATCTCTGAGGGGCGCTGCGTCGCCGCCGTACCTGAGCTCACGGGCCTCCCTGAGTCTGTCCGCCTCGGGCCTGGGACTGCAGGCCCAGCACTGAGAGGCTTCTCGGGGCCTCAGGCAGTCGCCAGGACCGGCCTCCGCCATTCGTGCGCCGGTGCGTGCGCACCTGCTGCGCGCGCGCCTGAGGACCCCCGGCGCGGGGAGCACGCCCAGCTCCACTCAGCTGCAGCCACTATGCGGCCAGCGAAGCCCCGCAGAGGCGGAGCAGGGGTGTAAAGGACTGGGGTGAGGTGGAGTCTGTGTGCGTGTGTGTGTGTGACGGGGAGCGTTCCTCCTGGAGACTGGGAGAGCGCTCAAACTCGGCGTCCTTCCTGCCTTTATCTCCTCTTTCCTCGCTTCAGGATCCTTGCACCAGAAGTTCCAGCCCGCGATAAACGTTCCAAAACCGCTTCCCAGCTCCTCTCCCGTGCACTCCCAGGCTTCTCCCCATCCCGGCCTTTGTCTGCGCTTAAACTGGGGCAGGGGTGACTTCTCACGTCCCAGACCTCAGCTTTGGCGACTGCTTGCTGGCCTGAGGGCAGTGCCCTCAGAGGCTCTAGAATGGTCCTGGATGGCCAGCATGGGAGGAAGAGGTGCCCCAAATTATGGGAAGGATACTGGGATGGGACAGGAGGCAGGTGGCAAGGGGCCCTAACCCCGGGGCTAAGGACTTCACTATTGTTTTTAGGAATCTGTGGGGACCTCAGGGCCTGTCAGCGGCTGGTCCCTCACCCTGCAAACAGATCCTTTCTGGTGGGAGGTGGGGACCCTGAGAATGACCTGGAGCTGACCTCTGGTGACTGGGGGTCGTAAGCCAAGGTCGGCCTCTGTTGGCAATGCTGTCCCCAGCCCTGCATGCTGGCCCCTTCCTGTCCTCTGCTTTCTGGGCCTAGTTTAGGATTGCCTATTGTCCTGGGATCCTCCGGCCTGTTTTCCCTCTGGAGAAGCCCCCAAACGATATCAGAAACCCACTTCTGCAGGCCTCTGGTAGTGGATGAGGTCACGCAGAACCAGTGCAAATATTGGTGGCAGAAAGGGAATCTGCACCCTGCCCTAATTTTTCTAGCCAGGGATCCCTTTACAAACATCCTTGTTGGGGATTCTGGAAGGATAGTGGTTTTCACTCCTCCCTGCCCAGTTCTGTAAGTTTTCGTGGTCTCTCCTGCTCCCTAACAGAAAGAACCGACCACAAGGAAAAATGGTTCTTTGGAATCTTAGCTTGGAAACAGGCTGGGAATCAGAATATTTAGAACAGCGAAATTCAGAACTGAAATCTCCGGTTTGCAGCTCACACCCAGGCCTGGGTTGGGGGCTGAGGGACGGGTTGAGGAATGTGGGGGACAAACACAGAAAACTATTTCTTCTCCCTCCACCCCTTTTTCCCAAACCTCAGCAGATACCCCTCCCTCATCCTCCCTTCTGGAATTAATGCCCCTCTCTAATCGTAACTAATGATCCAAGATGAATCTCTGCAGAAGGGAGGAATGTGATTTTGCAATCCAAAGTCCTAATTATAGGGAAAATTGTTATTTAATAAGAAGGAAGGAAAAGAAAATGAATTGTGTTGAACAAGAAAAGAGGTGCTCGGTAGATGACTATGGTTTGAGTAGGGAACTACACATTCCAATCATAGCCTCTGTGGAAAATGTGTTTCGAGAATTTCTTTAAACTGTCCAACTCTGATGCAAATTCATATCAAGATCTGATTTCTGTGCGCTGTTGATTTGCACTTCCTATCTCAGCCTTGTTCTGTTGAGCAGACTTATGGAAAACACACAAAGGGCTTTCAAATTTAAACAATAAAAAAAACTGTCATGATGTCATAAAACTTGCAGTGACCATATAAATATTGGCATAACATGTCTGACTGGTCCAAAATGTCACCACCATCAAATCGCAGATTGATACATTTATAAATGTGCAAAAGTTAAGACATTAAATAATGATTTCCTCAAATCTCTCATTTGGGTTTGGTCCCTAAAATTGTTTTCAAAAAGGAAACATATGTGAGCATATTTTAAGGAAACGGCCGGCCGGACCTTGTTTGATTCAGCGTATGTGTCTACTGGGTCTGACGCTGGCCACTGAGCAAGTGGAATTCAGACTGGAGACTGGAATTATTCCTGGGCCTCTTGCCTTCAAAGTTCTCCTTTCTCTTTTTCCTCATTTCTCACCTCCTACAGATGGTACAGGGAAACAAGGAGCCCGAGATTTTGCTACGCTTTCCTGTAAAGCAATTTAATTTGTTTGGTTTTTGTTTTGTTTTGTTTTTTTCCTCTCTAAAGGGGAAAGATGCTCCCAATTTGTGGCTGGAATGTACTTCTTTATGCCCCAACAATCATGAGACAGCCTGGGAGACTGAAATTCTCTCACCCTGTCCTGTACCCGTGCTAGGGAAAAAATGCTAGACAGAGCTGGGTTTGTTCAGGAGCTGGGGCGGAGCAACGCTGGGAGAGATTTCTCCTTTGGTGGGGCTGTTTGATGTCTGGATTTTGAAGATCTATATCAAAATTGGGAAAAGCAGTGTCATGGGAAGGTGGGGTAAGGCTCTTGCTCTGTTTTTAAACAAATGCAAAAACAAATCCTGATTCAGAGGGCTGGACTCTGGACCACTTCCCTTATAACTATGGTATGCCCTGCCCTGGACTTGGAACATCTTTTAGCTTTAGAATGAGCTAAGAATGAAACAAACTTTAGGGTTTCTCTTAATTTCTTAAAAAAAAAAAAAAAAAGGAAGGCACAGACCCCAAATTATTAATTTAGCATACCAAGGAATAATCAATAGAAGAGGCAAAAATTATAGCCTATCACTGCAGATAAAACTTCTCTAAAAACAAAACAAAACAAAAAACTAAGACATTTCTTCAAAGAGGGACAAAACTATTTTTTAAAAAAATCAAATGGTAGTGCATCGTTGTGAGAGCCTCGCAAATCAGCGATCCAAGGCTGGTGACTTCCTTCTCCCTCTGCATGAATGTTTATACGAGAGCTAAGGAGAGCTGGGTTGTGTGTTTCGCTGGCACGGAAATCAGATGGCTGAAGGTTGTCACTCATGTATTTTAGTCTTCCAACCTATCTCAGTCTTTAACTACTGGCAGGCACAAAAATAGAGATACTCATGTGGCAGTTGGACTTTTAAATATGTTGATTGGTCTAGTATACTGGGGGAGCACATTTTATAAAGCCAAGAGTACGTGAATACGGAAGTAAGTTGGCCTAAACAAAAACAACGGCGATGACAACAAAAGCCTCCCAATGTACTGTACTCGGGAACCTTTGAATGTGCCATAAGCAACTCCAGTTATTTCGACCAGGACATGCTGGGAATGTGGCTACTGGAACAGCTACGTACCATGTTTGTGAGGGTGGCCACGATTTGCCTTCTGTTCACTGCTTTTAGCAGTAAAACCGGTGGTTTGGCCAGGGGAGGTTCTACTTATGAATAGAAGTATCTAGGATTGATGTTACTAAATAAAAATGACTGGGGTGAAGGTATAAGGGAGAGAAGATCAGAGCGTTAGCATCATGCATTCAGTAATAAATAGAATATTTCCCATCGGAGTGGTCTGTGTTGAAAGGGGCCCAGGTGGTTATGGCATTGAGACGGTGCAGAAATGACGCCTAGATAGCAGATTTATCTGCCTGGCAAAAGTAGAACCTCTGCCTATTTGATGTCAATATATTAACGTGTCAGATATATTGTAAAAAAATTATTGCATCGTTTTTGAAAAAGGAAACATGGAAGGAGCTGCGAAATGACAGGGAGGTGATTTTGTGAGTGCCTGGGAGCAAAAAGAAAGAGGAACAAAAAGAGCAACACGGAGGGTGTGTATTTAACTAACTTTGTATTTTGCCACACATTGTTTTCATTTACAGCTACGTCTGATAAATGAACACGTTTGACATCACTGATAAATACAATACTATGGCCTACGAGAAGACTGGCAGGGGGCGGGGGGCAGTGCTCAGCTCTGCTGAAGCTTTGGCATCTGTTTGGAAAGGGGGAGTCAGATATTATTTTCTTCGTAGTAAAATTATCTGCCAGAGAAACACTGAGACGTGAAAAAGTACTATTTAGAATGTGCATGTCTACATATGCTTTTTAAAAATGCTAGCTGTAACATTCTGGGAAACTTTTCTGAATCTGTACGTACACATATATCTCTTTGTGATTTCAGTGGATTTTTAAAACTAATAACACAGGTTGAAAAACCATCGCACCTGTTCAGTTGTGTGCACTGGAAATCGAGAAGCACGAGCAGGCTTTTCTATGGGTCTAAATATAAGACCCTCAGACAAGAGGCATCGTTAATTAGTACGGAGGTTATACATTTAATAGCTTTCTTCTCTAACACAATAATTTTTCTTTAAAAAGGAAAGATTAAACAGGAGTCAGGGGGAGGTTGTTCTCCACGACTGCAAATAATAATAAAATAATAATAATCATAATTTTTAATGTACAGCTCTCACATAAATTTCATTTTGTGAACACACTGGTAAATACACGATGCTGGGGCTTCCAAAATGTGGCGTATCCCACTGATGGCTCCAACTTGCGAGTGGGCTCAGTTCTGTAATTGGAATGAAAGGAATTTTAACACTATTTAGACAAAGACTCAAATGCAGTGTAAAGGGGGAAGCTAGATTTCCTTATATGATTTTTTTTTTAAATTGGGAGACTAATTTGTAAGAAATGGCGGCACCTATGCAGGACTTAGGAGTTCTTTATAAAAGAGCACGTATTTGTGTTTGGCACTCAACTCACACTGTATTTCAAAGTTTCAAAAAATGCCTTTTACTAGGAGTTAACCTTCTCTTAAAGCCAGCCATCCAAACCCCGTTTTTTGCCAGCACCACTATACTTGATTTTATAATGTTTAGGGGCCCGAACCTGCTTATTATATCGAATGCTTTGCAGATTCCTATCAAAATGTTTAATTGTGACACACCTATATTTTTCGCCCAATCCAGGCTCCGCTCTTTGTGAGATAACTGCAATAACTACATCCTGATTGTCACTGTCATTCCGAGAATGTGTTTGCCTAAAATCTTTCATCGGATGCTGAGCTTTTTGTAAAAGTGGCATCTCCACTGCTGCTGCTTCAGAGGGAGACTGTGCATCTCCTAGTTGTGATCAGAAAAAAAAAAAAAAAAAAAATCTCCGAAGCCGCGAACAGCTGACTTCCAGCACATGGGAGTAGGTTTACTATTAAGACTTTTGCTAAGCAAAATTAAGTGTGGTTACAGGAGCCATATCCAAACTGGCACATAAAGGAAGGTCAAAATGTAAAGGGTATACACTGTCTTCGTGTTCCGTGAAGAAGAGGCAGGAAGGGCAGATGATAAACTGTCCAGAACTCGGCAGCATCAAGCACAACCTGTTTTCTTCAAAATAAGGCTTTCGTTCAGAGTTGCAAAATTATCTTTTTTTTTTTTTTAATAAAAAGAACTGAAAACAAAATAAAACAAAAGTCAACGTGTTTGGCTATATTTTCAAAACAGTGCTGGCTTTGTCTAACGTTCTATTAGTGTTCCAGGGGAAGTTGACTAAGAGTGCATGAATTTGTAACATTAGTTGCATGAATTTGTGTCATTTAAAAATAGGTCAATGCTTAGGAGCCCTACTAGTGAAGGTAGCTAGAGTCTTTCCAAATGATCTTTAAGTTAGTCCCCATACCCAGACTGTTTGGGGTTAAATACCAATACATCAAAGCACAGTGTATATTCCACCTTCGTGGAATATTTTCTGCTTGTCTTTCTGGGGATAACAGGATCTGAAATCATTACCGGCTTGTCTAAGTAGAGAAGTTCTCCACGAATATTCACAGTGAAATATGATTTGATAACACAGTTTAAACCAGATATGTACTTGGAGTTATGAAAGTAAGGGGTGGATTTTCTTTTTCCTATTTAAGACAAATGACCTTCAATGTTAAAGAAAAAAAAGCAAAAACAAAACAAACAACTTGGATTTGTCCAAAGTGTTTATGTTAAATCTTGTCAGGCCTTGCTAACAAGAAAATCATGGTGTGTAAGGGAAGAAGGAAAAATAATCAATTTTAGCAAAAGGCAAGAATTATTTATCTTTACCATTAAATACATATGTGCCCAAGCCACCTCTGATGCCTGCCTCATTGCTCCTTAGATGGGTTTGTTCCAGGATCAGAAGTGTAGGGCCATGTTCAGGAAGCCCAGTGCCACTGTTTCACCCCCCACCTCCCCCACCAAAGGGCAATGATGGCTCAACTCACTTAAAAACTGAAAACTTTCGGGAGGAAAAAAAAAAATGAGAGATCATAATTTACATCTATATTAAATATCGCTAATCACTATATAGGGCCAGCCTCCTCACCTCACAAAACAGCCTATGATTTCACCCTGAATTGCCTCCCTATTCTTCCATTATTCCTTCCACTGAAGAAAAAGATGCATTTTACACTTCTAATGCAGTTGTTGGGCCCAGTTAAACTGTACACTAAGAAACTGAGTACAGAATCAAAAAAAAATGCAGTTTATTATTGTAGATTATTCTTTCTCTTGATATAACCAGAATTGAAAATGAAAGAAAAGCACATAGGAACATCACGCGTGGTTAGTTAGTAACTCAAGATATAAAACAATTTTGCACAGCAAAATATGTAAAAGAAAAGTAACTGACAAGATTTTTTATATTTATTGTGGTAAGATTTACTTTTCATTTCTTTTTAAAGACAGGATGTCAGTCCCTGAAAATAACATTTACTGATTATTGCCTTTAAAACTGTGGATTTTTTTTTAAGTTACAGAAAATCCAGTTCTGCACCACAATACAACTGTAAAAAAATCTGCATCATCTTAAAACTGTGCAGTAATGCCATTTTTATAACTGCATAAATTTTATTAGCGTTCTAAACAGTTTTGCAAATTGTTTTTGTATTATATGCTTGCAGGTTATATCTTAGTGCAATTCAGTCCCAAATACTTTAATTTTGAAAAAAAAAACATACATTTTGAATGTAAAATACCCCTACAGATATAAACAGGGGTGTTTCCCCTTTTAATACTTTGGTTTTCAATACAGTCAGTGGTATAGCAAAGACTACACATACCCAACTTATATTTAAGTTGCAAGCACATGCTGTATAAGCTACTTTTTTTAAACAGTCCCCTTGCAAACTCTACCCCCCTTAACATCACAACAGTAAACAATTTAGTGCATCAATCTTTGAAAAAATCTACAGCTAAACAGACCTAACTCTTTCAAATTTATCTATAACATTCCTTTATCTGTAGCATACATTTTAACTGGGCTAACAGATTATAAAAACTAGAATTAAATTATATACTAGAAACCCATAGCATTCCACATTTGACAATGACCAAAAGCCAAAAAAAT